GTTCTTACTGCTACTTAGGGATGAAGTCAATGGTGGGATTTTGTTTTTGTTTTCTTTGTGTTTTGTTTTTTTCCTACAAGGATACTACTTCTTTTACCTTTTCACTATATCGATCGCCCTGTCCGGATGTAAATGCGGTTCAAATTAAAACATTGTATTCTGTATATATTTTGTATTTCGACTACTAGCTTAGCATCTACTAGTAAGTACTAACTAATCAAGTGTAATTCGGGACTCCTGGAACATGTAAACATTCCTGAAACTCCCCTGAAATTTCTCCCACCCATGGATGAAAAAAAAACCTATTGGTCCCCACTGCCCAACTAAATACACTTACAGTACTACTCCATACCTCTGAGGACTACGCACAAACTAAACTACGGACTACTAACCACCACCAACAATTCGACCTATGGGAATTAGGGAGTCGACCTCGATGAAAAGGTAATTCCGCACTTAGCGTTCGATGACCTGTTTATTCAGAAAGTGTGAAGTAAGGAGGTGCTCCCCTTAAGCGCGGAGTGATCGCTCAAAATCCAACCACCGTCCACGCCGAAGCGGGTCCATTTTCTTCAGTTCCGAGATCCAGCTCAAAACCTTTTGTTGGTCGTCATTGGACATGGTGCCCTCGATTTTCGACGCCAACAAGGTACAGTCGATTAATGCCTGGTAGATGTACTTACAATCCTCCGCCCCGTCCAGCATATCCTGAATCTCCTCGATCTCTTGGCGGACATAGTCCAGCCGCTCCGACTGACTGAGGTTCGGTGCCATTGTCTGCCCCGATGTTGCTGGGTCAAATGTGCAAATTAGATTTTGGTGGTAAAACCATAGTGACTGGTCATATGGGTCACACAGGGCGCGATGGATAAGCTCCAGTTCTTAGTTGCATTAGCGAAGAAAGCGATCATTTCTTATGTAAGACAGGGAAACGTACCGTCATTGAGCATCTTTCTTCGTTCCGCATCAGTGGCTGATTTCTCATTCAGCAATCGCTGGATAAGCTTCGTCCGATAATGCCACGCGGAAAAGTTAGAGAGATTCGTCCCAATCATCTTCTTCGCATACTCGAATTCTGCTTCCGCCATACTCTCTTCCTTCTCTTCGGGTGTCAGTGTCTCTAACGTGTCCACGACAACTCGTCGGTAGCCCCAACCATGGAAGTTTCTGCTGTCTAGGCGAAGCATTTTACCCACAAGCGCTAGCTCTTCTTCCCAGATTCTCCGGGAGATAGAGAGCGGCAGCAGACGTTTAGCTTCATCTAGAAGCCATAAACGATAGTTCCATATCCAGTAGCACTTGGGAAAGCTGCGCAGTAGCGGCATCAGGAATAGCAGGTCATTCTTGATTAAGGTAGTTATCTGATCCGCTGCAGCCTCAGTCGAGTCGCGTGGTGCAGCTTGTGTGAATTCGTGCCGCAGAACCCGGCGTCGATAATTCCACACCGTGTAGTACTCCGGATTTTTGGTCAACAATTCGGAGATTTTTTGAAGTGTTTCAGGCGTATACTGCTGTTCTGCAATCTGGACTACCTATCAGAACGCCGTGTGTATTCTGAGCAGAGCGGATATACCTTCGCACGGACTAACTGATCCAGCTCCTGGTATTTTTCTATTTTGCGAAGCTCTTGTTGACGAGCTTCTTCGGATTTCTTCTTCAAGCTGTAGCGGGGTATCCCATGCTGCCGAACCATCCATCAGTAGGTGTGGGGTATGCAGAGGGAAGGTTAAAAATTACGCTGGCCATGTCGACCTGTTGTCTATTTATGTAACACCTGACTAGTTGAAACGTGCCACCACCAGGAAGGTATGGTTTTTCTCAGGCCTACCAGTAAGGAGAACGAAGGAGTAGAAGTCACGGTTGCTCGTCTCCGTTTGGAATGCTTTCCCTATCGGGACGTCACGTGTCATACTATACTACCTCATCTATACTGGATCACCGTCCACCTTCCTTCAGCTTCCAACTTATCTACTGTTTATCAAGGGATATGTTGTTGCATTACAACACAATAGTTTTATACCCAGGGTCTAGGTTTTCATGATCTGGACCCGTAACACCATTCTTTTTGACTTTGAAGCATTCCAGAGCTGACCACAGCATTCAATTATTACGTCTATTACAGGCCGCCAACTGCAACAGTTGGGCGTCGTTATAACAATGATAGGCTCTCAATGCTATGTATTGCAGAAGTTGGACCCTCTCATGGAAAGTAGGCCGTCAACGCCTGAGCTCATCTCAGACACCTCTAGTGATGACGACTCTAATCTATCAGTTGACCATGCTATTACTCCACCGCCCCTCATAGGGCCTGTCACTCATTATGCAGCTAATCTAGGCACTGGCTCGCCTTTTTCGGGGGAGTACAAAGATACTCGCCCAATTCCCCTGCCTATGCCCGTGACAAGAAAAGGGCGCCATACTGTCTGCAACTCCAAAAACCCACCTGTGGAGGCGGATAGTGTTGCCAAACAGGCATTATCACCTGTCAGAGGTCGGCATAAAGCTAGGAGGTGTACTATAACTAATACAAATGGTGACCTTTCGAGATCTCCAGCCTCGCCGGACAGGTTCATACCAGTTAGGCAATTTATGAGTCCACTGTCGACCTTGTTTCGTGTTGGCAAACGCCCACAGGAGCTATCCCCTGAGGAGAGGTTTCTGCGCCATCGTTCACAGAAAGAAGATCCGTTTATGCCCACACGTCCAAGACGGTCTGCGAGCACACCCGGAATACCCTCAGGACGTCCATTACAACTGTACTATGGACCCCGTTTTATCAATATTCCGGCTATCACAGGGACTGATAGCCCATTGTATCCAGAAGCCGGGAATAGACAAGTGAGTAATGGCGCTGTCTGGCATGTTGGTGGAGCATCTGCTGCAGTAGGCAGGCGATCCAGGACAACTTCTAGCCGCTCTGGAGGACCCTTGGCAAGTGGAACAGCTGCGCCTATGTACAATGCTAGTTTCTTGCCATCTGTAGAATCAACCGAGGAACAATCGAAATACGAGTCAAGGGTAGCTCTTGCATTGGATATTGACCCTGCGAGAACCCTTCTCAACAGTCATCACGACTGGCCACTACTTGAGTCCACCCCAGCTCCATTCTCTCCCCTCTACGAGCGATTTTCGCCGTTGACCTGGAAAGACAATGCATGGAAAAAGGCAGAGAAGAATCGTTGTAAGTACAATTTATTTATGTCTAACTGCAAATGATGCTGCATGGTTGCCGGCCACTCATGGTCTCTTGGAAACCAACTAACCCCTTTCCACATGGTAACACTAGGGAGTACTACGCCTATACCAAGGGGAGATAGCGCAAGGATTATGCCAACACTACCATTCCGTATACTAGACGCGCCTAACCTCCGCGATGATTTTTATTGCTCAACACTCGCGTATTCAACCACTTCTGGGTTTCTTGCCGTCGGTCTTGGCCACCATGTTTACCTTTGGTCTGAAGCTTTTGGCGTTCAGTACCCACCTTTCGCTGACCAACATCCGTCGAACTACGTAACTTCTTTATCTTTCTCCTCGGAGTGTGGAGAGAAAGGCATTCTGGCTGTTGGCAGACATTCCGGTACACTCAGCCTCTGGAGTGTGTTTGATTCAGAGATACGTTTTGAAATCAATCATCCTTATACCATCACTTGTGTTGCATTCAAGCATGTGACTTCGCGCAGAATATCAGAGAGATTCAAACACGTCGGGGTAGATACGGAAGATTTGGCTGTCGGTGATGATCTAGGTAATATCTGGTACTACTCAGTGGAATGGCCTGACGATGAGATCCGAGAAGACTTTGACTGGCAAGGCTCCATGACACTGATTGCTAGGATATCGGCCCATACACAGCAGGTTTGTGGAATATCATGGTCTCCAGACGGAACGTTTCTTGCTACTGGTGGTAATGATAATGCGTGTATGTTATTCGAGCTGCAAGATATCATTCCCCCAGGAGAATTAGGCATAGTCTCGAAGTGTGTGAATACGCTATGCCAGAGTCGTCTCAATTCATCCGTGGAGAACACCCATCAACAGCTCTTACATAGACACTTCATCGCTCGCAGTTTACCTACATCCTCCCGCTCTGGAATCGCGCCTGTATCAACAGCTCTCCTCAGCCGTGTGGGATCGCTCATCTCAGATCGCGACCGAACGGTCATGGTGCCGCCAAACAATCAGAAGCATCGGCTTGTCCACTCTGCGGCGGTTAAAGCAATAGCATTCGCTCCCTGGCAGCCATCTCTTCTGGCCACTGGTGGGGGCTCTAATGACCGCGCCATCCACTTCTACCACACGCAGTCTGGCGCATGTCTGGCTACTATCAACGTTTATGCTCAGGTGACTAGCCTTATTTGGAGCAAGGCAAGGAGAGAGATTGTCGCTACCTTTGGCTTTGCACAACCAGAGCATCCGTTCCGAATTGCTGTCTTCGCCTGGCCAAGCTGTGAGCAGATCGCTGCAATCCCTTGGGGCCCAAACGGTAGTAGCTGGGATCGTATAGAGAATGAGTCAAATGTTGACTGCGGCCGAGCCCTCTGTGCGGTTAGCTACCCCTGCAGGCCTCCTACTTATGTGCTTGATAAATTAGACAGTCCCGATGGCTCTTCTATATCGAGTTTGGTGAATCAACTCAGGTCGAACAGGCAGGGAGGAAGTGTACATTACCGGCGGGCAGTTGTGCGGCCTAGGGCCAAGGAAGGTGGGCTCTGGTGTCCACGCACAGTCGAAGAAGGATGTATCATTGTGGCTTCTAGTGACCAAAGTGTCAAGTTTCATGAGGTGTGGAGCAGTGGAAGAAAACAAAAGGCTGCAGCTTCTGGGCCATACGGTGGCAGTGAGATCCTCGAGGGTATTGAAGGTTTGGAAGCCCCAGGAAAGGAAGTCATTCGTTGACGTTAAAGCTTCGGGATGCAGAGCTTCGCGAATTATTGGCAACATATCCTTAGTGCAGTAGGTTATCATGTCAAGCATGTATCCTTATAGGGAATTGGGATAGACATGTCATGGCGATGAATGCAGCATTCTGTAAAACAGGGAGCATAGTCGCCAGCTACTCTAGGAGGTCACTGACGAAGTAAAGTTCATTTCATATGCCCGGATATGCTTTATATTCGTGAACCAGTAGGTGGCATTACCCGTTTAAGAACGGGAATACTTGAGTAGGTCGACATACTCTGCATGGAATAGGCAGATACAATAAACAGACCCTGTATGGTGACTCCCGCTAACAGCAGTGGTCCCCAAATATTCCATAACAGCAAAACACTCGTAACTGCGTCATGTGGTAAAGTGATATATAGGGTCCAGGAGGGGAAACATAAAAGTAGCAAAAGGAATAAGATGGGGAAAAAGAAGCAGATATATAAGAAACGTCAGCGACAGGATTTGAACCTGTGCGGGCGAACCCAACAGATTTCTAGTCTGTCGCCTTAACCACTCGGCCACACTGACTTAGATGAAATTTATATAACTAGCTTTCCCTATAGATGGGTAAATGCATCTCCAGTTATTGACTTATAAGACAGCCTCTGTTGGACCATATATTTCCTTAAGGTGATCATCACGAGAGGCGAGTTCATTCCTATTTAGAGTGACTCAACCATATCTCTAGGGTGTGTATCTATTTTAATTAGATTCATTGAGCTGTTCAATTCGGACGCTCTTTACGAATATTAGCATCTTTCTTATTGTCCGTCTTGTTTACCAAGGAACGCTTACTTTTACCTACAAATATAGTATTCTATGTTGTACCAGGTCAGGGACTGGCGGTATATTTGTACATGAATGCATCATTCAGCTTTGGTAACTTGTCCTATATGGTCTTTTTGACACGGGCAGTTAACGATCGCCAACCAAGCTATATAGTGCTCGAACGACTTCGGGAGATGTATGTACATGTATGGCCAGTTCACGAAGAACTTGATACTATGTTGATCACGTGGGGGGTGTTATAGTCGCTGAGCCACGGCTTTGTTTGTTGGATTGCTGCTTGCATTAGCCTGTGTGGGGGATAAGAAAAAGAACTAAGGTGTCAAGAAATGTACTTGACTGCTGTCAAAGAGCAAAAAAGTACCGTCAGCGACAGGATTTGAACCTGTGCGGGCGAACCCAATAGATTTCTAGTCTATCGCCTTAACCACTCGGCCACACTGACAATTGATATTTAACTAGTCTATATTTGATTAAATAAGCCTACAAAACTAATAAGGTCCACTTTGTGCTGCTTCCTCAACAGCATATACATCATCAGAAAAGGTAAATGGTATCAATATACTGCAAAGAACCACCGTACGCCTCTAATCAACTCATTTTGATACTGCTCGTATTGTCCGTGGCTTTTCTTTGCGTGGTATTTTATAATTTATTCTTGGTTTATGGTGTGGTGTTGTTGATTAGGGTTTAAATATATATATCCCCCGATGCTAGCGCGTGAGATTATTTCCAGTACGACCATATGTCAATTACCAATGCTAGCGCCGTGTTCGAGAGGGAGCATACCGATAATATACACCAGAATATAGCCCCCTCCCCAAAGGACATTCCTTGAATGAGGCTGCCCTACCCTGCCGCCGTTTGCCGTACTGTTTGTGTCTCGGGCCTGCTCGTACGATGGGTAGTCACGTGGGAAAAGCAAGTATATATGTGTTTTGTATCTGATTAAGGAGATACGTACAAGGTGATAGATCTAAAGACCGAGAACCTCGGATTTGTGCGTGTTCAATCCCCCATGTCAACATGACTAGGAACATATACCAGGACGATAGATGTATGAAGGCACGTAAATAGATGGTAGTAGCAAGCCAACGTAGATGCTAGTGAACGATGGCTCCATACACTAAAACGGAATACAAGAAACAGATTCAAAAAATATATTTTCTCTCTTTGAGCACTTTTTGTCTGGGTGTAGTACACGGAACTCCAGGAACAAACACAGAAGAACAGGGTATAAAAATCTAATCTATTTTCTCGCCTTGTTCTTCCCCTTCCCTCCACTGCCCAGCTTGGTCTTCTTTGGTGGCGGCTGGGGAGCTGAAAGAGCCTCATCCTCGGAGTCATCTTCCGTATCGGCAATGAAATCGGCCATCGAACCGGCACTCTCGGCATCATCATCCTCGTCGTCTTCGTCTTCCTCTAGGGACTCCTCAGCGTCGGAAGAGCCGGCAGACTCCTCCGCCTCAACGTCAAATACATCTTCGTTCTCATCGTCATCTTCCTCACTGCCCTCTTCCTCGTCTTCTGACTCATCAATGCCGGACTGGACGCCGTTCAGCATGGATTCGTCTTCGTCGAAGGTCTGATCGCGAATCAACTTGGTCCGTGGTGTGGCCATGTGCTTTGCAGTCTCAGCATCGCTATCCTCCTCCTCAAGCTCTTCCTCTCCCTCAACGTAGATGACGTTGTCTTCATCTTCACTCTCCATCCCTTCTGCTCCACTGCGGATTGATTGCCTCAAGCCGAGTTGCGCGTCCAGCATATCAAGCTTACCTTTAAGCAGTAGTAAAGAGGATAGACTTGATGAGCGCTGATCCATGACCTTGTAAAGCGTGGCCATACGCTTCAAAAGGTCTGGCTGACCGGCGAGCGCCCCGCCATGTGCGACACATGTCCATTGAATCCACACGAGGAGATGTCCATACCGACCAGGCCGGGCAGAAAGACGCTCGGCCAGCTTTTGGAGAAGTGTAGCTGCCAGGGACGACTCCAAGCGTTGAATGGTCGTCCGGATGATCGAGAGGTCACCGGTATGGAAACAAGATTCAAGCATGTCGTTATCGTTGGTCCTAAGGGACTGTGTAAGGACAGTGGAGAGTGAGACACCGGATGGAATCTGTTGGACTGCATTGTTGGGTTTCCCGGGAACAAGAGACCCGATGCGGACATCATCCTCAAGTTCAGCCTCAACATCTATGTCTGCTGCGTTTGCCCGCATGAGCTCGCCAAAGGAGGGTTCGCCAGCCTCGTCCTCCTCATCTTCAGGATCCGACTCTCCCGCGTTATCCATCTCCACGTCGCTGTCGGTACCATTCTGTTTGTCTGCTTCCTTCACTTCGCCCGACTGCTTGTGTTCTTTGTCGTCATCATCCGAGTATCCATCGCTATCCGAGACAACGTCTTGTCTGGAGTCTTGCATCTCAACATCATCATCTGCAAGACTTCCTTGCTGTACCACCACCTTGGACTCATCGACCTGGCTTTCACCTGTCTTCATTGCACCGTTCGTGGTAACCGATGAGAGTACCGAGCTGAACTTGCTCTTGACAATCTCCTTCGTGCCCGTGAACGCCAACTCGTCGGTTTCCTCATCGAAACAAGAAACACGCTCAAAGATAGGGATGACGCCTCCTTCAGCATATGCAATGACTAGGTCATGACCTTGGAACGATGCTGTTACCACCGGGACGAGCGCATCAGAGCCCTCGGAGCGCGTGATCTTAATGGAACACTCTGCTCTCCTGGTCATCTGCCTTCCCCTTGCCTTCAAGCTCGTGGCAGCCTTACCTCCCTGCAAATCTTTTGGCTGAACGAATGGCCTCATGAAGAGCTCAATTGTGCCGTCGTCAGTTACAGCTGCCAGGGCTTGCTTTTCCAACGACGAGTCACCTGTCTTCTTCCCGAAGCCGGTGTACAATGACAACGAAGATACTTCTTTTTCAGTCACCAGATTCATCACGAGCTTCCGACTCTCAGGGTCAAACACATTGATATAACGGTCATTATCGGAGCCGAGGAACAGCCCGGTAGAGGCGGACTCAGTGGAGGTGAGAAGAGTATGGATAGAATTGCGCATGGCGGGGAACGCAATTGGCGCATCGTTATTATCAATATCGATTATATATGGTGTTTGAGATGCGCAGATAACAGGTGGGTTGGAGGGAAGCGGGCGCGCCAGACTCGTGACCACCGAGGATGAAGGCAAGTTAATTATCCTAGCATGCGATGTTAGACAGGTCTTGAAAATCCCATGATAAGGATATATGAGCTTACTTTGTGCTTTTCCCGGTGCGTAGATCCCATTGTACAAGTTTGTTATCACCACCGACACTCCAACCTTCTTGAGCGGGCTTGCTCAATGTAAATTTGAAATCCTTAATCCCTTCATCATGAGCCCCAATAAGTGTTCCGACAATCTTGTCCTCCGTAGGCGAGTACATCCGGATATCTGAAGCACTGGTACCGAAGGCGACGACTACATCTCCCTGATCGAACCCACCGGCGGAACCATTGACGTCGGAGTGTCGCTTTCTCTTCTTCTTCGACTGCTGATCGCGATCCTTCTGCCTTCCTGGATAATATCCCCAATCTAGGGAGGTGACCGTCTCCTTAGGACCCAAGACATGCTCGCATTGTAACCGGCCGGTATTCGTATCATGAATTCGCAAATGCTGAGCACCAAGACCCTGAATGACCGACGCGAAAAGCGCCAATTGATATTCAGACGGTGCAAATGACGCCTTTAGTATCGAAGATTTGCTCCCCGTGTATGTCATGCCGGATATCGCGGGCGACGCAGCGGAGGAGGTTTTCGAGGCGGGCGGGCGAGACGTCTTCTTACCCATTTTGACCAAATCTGTAAGCGAAAGAAGAAACAAACAATGTCATAGAACAGAAACCAGGTAGTGGATTAATCCTAGTCCCGCTTCGACTTTGAGCGACACCTGGATGTTGAGAGTCTGTTGAACTGCAGACTGTCGCCGTCTCTTGGGCGGTGTTGCTGAGAAGGAAAAAAAAGTTCTGTAGAGCCAATAGATGGCGCTTGCCCTGTTATGGTCTAGCGCCCTTATAAGTACTGCAGGCGTCTTATCTAATCGCCCGTCTCTTTCCATAACTACTCCTACTACTCCATACTCTTTAAAGACCTTTAACTAATCTTTCCTCTCAACAATGCGTCGGTCTTAGACGTGCCCGCAGAATGTTGAATCGGACTAGGCTTTCTGTTTTTGCTGGTGCCACTTCCTCCTCCCATTCACGATTAAGAAACTAGGTAGGTAATCTCGAGCTAGTCGTTCGAATCTACTAACCCCGATATTGCCCGGGTTGAATGTCTTCTCAAACTCACTCACAGCAGAGCCTTCACATCAGGCTCTGAAGATAAGCACAGCTTGCTTCTTCGACTGGTCGATATTACCAAAGGACTGAAATATAATTGGGTTCAGAAGTTGCATTCTTCGGGCCTTGGGAGGCAAATATGCGCAGTTTCTAGTTTGACTGCTACTGGCACACATTGCATGTTCTCCGCGCAGAGTCATGCGTTGTCAGTTGCTACACTCTTGACTCATCTCCGCCCACCCAGACTCGACTGCAAGAAAATCCCCTTTGTCGTGTTCCACTCCACCTAT